AAAAAAAAAAAGTAGGTGAAACACACAGGTGGTCAGTATTCTGTAGGTACCTGAAAGGGAACTACAGGTAAGGTACAAAACCCATGGTACCAGGTGCCTTTACAAAATGAAACCCGTAACACTTAGAAGAGCTAGAGATGTTTGCTAAGACTAACAGTTTCCAGATATTAAAGTTAGAATATGCATTCTGTCATGTAGCAGCTATTTCCAGGAAGAAAAACCAAGTTCTCTTCATGCCACTTTTGCTTCAAAGCAGTATGAAAAGCGTAAGCTCTGTCCCAAGCCAGATGGTAGAACAAGACTAAACTACCCCACTAGAGGTTAAATCCGGACCTGTCTTCTCAGCGTATTTTCTGAAAGAAGTTTTTTGCTAAGACTTTTCTGTGAATAACTGCCTAAAAAGAAGGGGGTGGTGCCTGTAAACCAACATCTGGTCTAAGAAAAGAGGCAATGAACAATTTTGTAATTATATTGGAAATGCTTAATCTACAATAATTAGAACATTCATACAGAATTTTCAAGAGTCAGCTTAAAATAATGCACACAATACATTAATTTCAGAACATCCTAGATGCATCAGTTGGTTGTATTCACTGACAGCAAGTTTCTCTCCTCTGCAGGTTCACATACATCCACCAACAGTGCTCGTACTGCTTTCCATGACACACCATTGAGGGTTATCTGATTTCAGTAATCAAGGTGGAAGTCAACCTTCACATGCCAGCAGGCTGACAGATTCCAAACCGCATGTATGCTGATAAAGCCTGGAGGATTTTACTCATGCACGGTAGCAAAGGAAGCTCCTGCAGCAGCCAAGCAACCACTGGCTCTATACGCAGTATGGCGCAGGACGGCAGCCAAACAGTAGTCGGCGATGAACCAAAGCAAGCTTCACATCTAGCTCCAGGGTCAGGACCAAAGCTGACAGAGGAAGGGACTATTTGACCTTAAGTGCAATAGCTTCAGAGAGCTTGTGGATCACATGACTTTAATGGGCCTGTGAAGATTGACCACATCCTTGTCAGCATCACTATTATGAGGTTGCATTAGAGCCAGTCCCTATTTAGCAAACACCAGTACAAGCCCAAAACACTAACATGTTATCCTAACTGGTACAAAAACTTAACTATATCTTACCATGAATTGTAAGTACTTGTGCATACTTTATTAACAGAGTATAAGATCTAGAATTCCTAAAAAGACCACCACAGAATCTTAGTTAAAGCCTGGGCAATTGCACACATACAGGAATTACAAGGCTTAGAATAAAATACAAGCAGGTAAGGGAGTTTTCTTGACCAAGAGGCAGGGGTGAAGTGCAATCAACTTCATTTGAGTTGCATCCTGGAGCTTTATACAAATTGCAAAGTCAGTTTAATTACTTAGTTTATTTCTTTATGCTTTTAGAAACAACTATGGCTGGATAGAACAAATAGCAGGAAGTGAGGGTGAACTGCTTGTAGTCCTTCACTCATCCACTAATGCATACAAAACAAGCATCACAAGTTATTCACTGGCCCATTTACGATGTCTGACATTGAACACCACCTCTAGGGTGATGCTCATCATCTTCATAGACTTCTCCATTATAGTGGTGTTTTCTTTTTTGAGATGGATCAAAGTCCACTAAATCCACTTGTTCCATTTCCTCAGTTTCTTCTATTTCCTGCCTTGTAGGTAGCAGTTTTTCAAGTAAAGACAGCTTATCTGAGGAGAGGAAGCCACTCTCTGGGAAGTTCACCTGAAATCATCAAGAACTGGGGTTACTCAAGTCTGCCTGAATTGGCCTTTTTCCATCCCACTACAGGTCAAACATCTGCCAAAGTCAGCTCTATCATAACATATGACTTAAACCCAGTGCTTAAAAAAGAAATAATCTAAGTCACTAGGCTATTTTTTAGTGCCTGCAAGAAGTTAGCTGCTAACTCTGGCAACTTAACCAAGTCTTATCCAACATTTCTTCTGCCTCAGGCTGCCCTCTGGAATCACCCTAGAAGCAAAGTACAGTATATAACATTAGAGATATGGTTGAATCTCCTTGAAAATTGTAGCAGACAGAGCCTGCTGCCACAGCTCCCAGCATTAGCTTCTCTCCAGAGAAGAAATCAGCATCTTCCAGTCTACTCCTTTGCTCCAGCACAGGGAAAGTTACTAATCCATCCTTGCTACAGGATGATAGAAACTAAAGAATGTGTGAAGCAAATGGAAATTCACAAGGTATCTGAAGAAATTCTTCTGGTACTTAACATACTTTCAGCACAGAGTGTTCCAGAAGTTTTCTCTTTGTTCTGAACTGTAATTCTGTTTGATGAATTACATGTCTTCACCATTGTCAAAAACAAATACCAAACCAAGACATGTGATAATTGGTATCTTTTCTTGATTGGGGTAATGCTTAAAGGTTAAACTTTGGATGGATATTCAATGCTGAACTGTGCCATGCAGGTAAGTTGATCCACTTACCCTGAATTCTATGATCAGACGTCCTTTTTCATATGGTCTGCGATAAATTGGCATACCTTCATTCAACACACACTTAATAGCCCCATGCTTGACAACCTGGCCTAAAAAAAAAGAAAAAAAAAAAAGGAAGGGATCCATACAGGCAACAGAAGCAGCTTTAGTTTTAACTCCCTTCAATATTTATGTAACCTTCTACAGTGTGGTTAGACAGCTACACCAATATGTAGTAGTCTAATAGGGACTTACTGCCTGGTAACTTCTGAGTGGGAAATCAGGCTGACGTCTACATTACATTGTTGTAACCTTGTTATGCTTCCCAAAGGAAGCATACTTACAAATTTATTAAGTGCTCCATCAGTTCCAAGGCTGAAAAAGTGGTTTTCAGAGACCCACGGCCTTCAATTCTCATGAGGTATCCTCAGGATACAAGTATGTCCATGAGGTAAGGTCTGTTACTATATCACGCAAAGAGAAAGTTACTGCTGACTGCTATCCAAAAACCCTTTTTTCTTTCAAGATTTGTACTGCAAAGACTAGGAAAAAAAGCTTGATACCAGCACACATCCCTTGTACATCAAGATGGGATGTTTCTGTTCCTTTAAATTTCCAGCTTACATTCACCGTATGCTTGGACTTCTAGCAGAAAGCAAACCAACACTTACCAGGATGGGAGGTAATAATAATAGTTCTATTATCCAGCGTTGTGATAGGCTTTTGAAAGCCACATAGTGCTTCAACCAGTTGAATATCCATAGACATAAGAAGGTCTTCATCTCGTCTAAGGCAGAACCAATCAAAAACAGTCACAGAGAGGGAAAAGCAGTAAAAGGATCATACCCAAGCTCAGTATTTAACTTGGCAAGCACAATAAAGCTGTAATTTTAATAGAAGTCCAGGCAATTGTATAAAGAATACTGAATATTGATGCAGCACCTCAAGCCAGCACTTAAAGGAATGATACCCACGCTGAGAACCATTACTGATGAAAGTGTAGAAGTGTTTATTGAAAAGAAAGAAATACAACAAGGCTCCCTTGCATCCAGTTTCACTCCACCGTTCCTTCCCAGTTCTAGAAAAAAAGGTATCTCTCAGCCTCCTGAACACTGCAACTGGGACAATTAATCCCTTCCTTTATGTAGATTAATACCTTAAGTGCATCAGCTAGCTCTACATTATCCTGTTACACTCGCTTTCTGAAGATCTGGTACTAGGGAAGTTTGAACAAGTGATGGTCACCCTGGCTTATGATGAAAGTACCTTCTAGAAAGCACCGAGAAGTATCTGGAAGATATAATGTAATTGTTTTAATTGCCTCTTCTGACTTCAGTAGGGCAGTGCTAGTGATGTCTGCAAGCACTGCATGTTCAAGGGCTACAAAATCCCCCAGCCTACTCGAAGAACAAAGCTATTTCACTCACTATTTTAAAGGTCTCTGGAAGCAGACTTGCCTGAAAAGTTAATTTTAGACTCTGATGGAAGATGGGGAACATTCCACTTGTCCCAGAGCAGCATGACCTCAGCATAACCCCACAAGACCAGTAATATCAAGGATTATCTAAGGACATTAGAACTGAAGGCAGTGGGCAGAAAGATGGACAAAAATAAGCCAGCAGAGTTGTGACTTCAAGTCCCAGGTAACTGTGCAAACAGTTTGGCCCAGACTGTCCCTTTGGCATAGCCGATTCAGTATCTGGTTTCACTGGGAGAAAAATCAGCTGAGTAAGCTTATCCAAAGCAAACAGAACTGATTCTTAACCTGTGAGCTCAGTGTTCTTTGGCATAGAACTCTGGCACCAGCTTCCAGAGCTCAGCACCATACAGGACAGTCAGGCAGACCTGCTGCAGGTTTCCCAAGAACCTTTGACTCACTGTTCCTATTTACAAGTACAATGTCAGTGGTTGGTGCTGAGACAACTACTTCTCTAAATCCATGGATTCATTCCCTTGTTACTGCTCTGAACAGAAGCAGTGAGACACCAAGTGCAACACATTTCTGCGAGATGACTAGTGTTGCTTTTAATTGGACCAAAATGTACTGGACAGACTCATTCCACAAACAGTAACTTGCAACACCAAGCAGTACTGACTGGGTACACAAAATACTTGAGACATGGTCCATGCTGCTTGAGTCACTTTTGCTTTCACAAGAAAGGACAGGACTGATTACCCTGCCTGCTGCACTCAGGCAGGAAATGAAGTGTGAGAAATCACCTTTGGTCAGAAGGATGCGTGCTGTATTCAGTAAGTTTCTCGTAAGTAAGATCCCTCAGGAAAAGTGAATGCACTAGAAGCTTTCTGTGCCTTCAAGCCAAGTGGGCAATGCACAGCTGCCTACACTATATGGTAATTTTCTGAGGTAAGTGATGGAATGCTATCCTAGAAAGAGCAAGGAAATAATCACAAATATTCACATCTATTAAACAAAATCTCAGTATTTGAAGAGTTCTTAAAATTCAAGATTTGTAAACTCTTAGTAACTGTACCTGGTTTTGTTTGCCTTCCATCCCCTTCCACTGCCAACATTCACATAAGAATATCTCATGCTACTAAAACACAAGTGGCTGTGACTAGTTGTACCAGGATTCCTGCACACCTCAGTGCTCCTTTGGCCAACCAAGCAAACTCACAGGTGAGTTCTAGCCACATGATCCTATCTACTGATATTTCCAGCAGATAAAAGGTGAGTGGTGACCAAGGAAGCATATGGACAAGCATCTCAGGAGTTAACACAAAGGACTTCCAGAGTTTTTACCTTGTAAATACAGAGTGGTCTTTTTGATCCAAGACAATAATAATGTCCCCTGGCTCTAGTCCTGGCTCTTGGTCCCCTTCACCATGGAATGTTATTTTCTGACCATCCTTCATTCCTATTGCAGAAAACAAACAAACAAAAATTATTCATCTTTTTAAGTGAAAAGCAGCAATAAGAAATATTTTTATAGGCACAAGCTGGTACCAGGAGATCTCTGGATCTTTAAACTGGAACATCAGGACCTTCCCTTGAAGCACTCATAATTTTTTTTTTCAATCCACTCACATGTCCAACAGATTTTAGTGGTGCCAACCTGAACTATGTCTCAAGATCATTAAGCTTAATTGTAGTGCAAAACAGCCACCTGCCAAGATAAAGTCCTTAAGGGAAACACTATCAAAAAAATGAAAAAGGTTTCATTATATGCACAAGTACTAAAAAGAAAATAGAAACATTGAGACCAAGTGACCAATCAGCTTCTTCAGTTTTATAAATATATGTGGCAGAGCTGCTTATGAAACATGATCTCAGTGCCTGAGTGCAAGAAGCTGAATGCAAGAAGCACTCTCCCTAGGACTGTAATCTTCATGTAAGAGACCCACAGAAGTCTCTCTACCATAAATTCTAGCTGCCTCGTGCTAGCTCACAGTCTGTTTTTCCTATACGGAAGGGAAAAGAAACTCTTCTCACTGATTTCCCTGTTTAAAATGTCAGTAATATACCCCTACTAGCCCTCATATTTAATGTTAATGTAGGATTTTCCCTGCTAAAAACAAATCCAGGCATTGCATAAGGTGTGCTTACACATACAGCAGTTGCAGGTGATAATCAGGCGCAAGTCTGTAGAAGTCATGCGCTTGTCAGCTTGCTCTATCTTACAAGCTGCACTACTCCAGAGACTTCTCCCACCAGCTTTTGAGCAGCCTCCTCAACAAAGATGCATTTGTCACTCAACACTGTCGCGCTCTCCCATCACTGTGAGGGTTTGTGTATTGCATTTGCATTTTGCCAGGGAAAACTGTCAGGGTTGCGTAGCAAACAGAGTTCTAAGCATGAGAGGCTTAGCACTGTCTCTGCACCCTATATACTACTACTATAGCAGACCTGGTTCCCCTTCACACTGAAACACAGTAGAAGTGATCGGAGTCTGCAGGGTTTCGCTACAGGCAGGGGAAACTCATTAGGCAAGCTGATCCAACAAGTGATGAGTCTTATTTTAATCAGTTCAGCTACCTGATCAAGATTCATGCTTATGGGTTGCTCAAAAATAATTCACTGCTTACAATACTGCAGGTTTCAGAATTCATTCTTAGTTATGTGCACAGGTGTTAGATGCAAAGATAGAAGTAATCCACCTTCCCTAAAAACAAGTCTCCAACTTTTTAAAGGCAGCAACAGGTAATTTTACTGTACATGTATTCAGCAGTGTTACTCACCAAATCAACTCCGTGCATTTGCTAAAGCTTTGCAAAGTCAGTCAGTACATCCAAGTTCAATACTCCATCTTAGTAAGACACCTCACCTTTGTCAATGTGAACTTCTAGTATCTTCTTCTCTCTAACAATTTTTCTGCCAGTGCAGCTCTTACACCGGTCCTTGGGGCTGATACGCTCCCCGTGCCCCTGACACTCCATACACACGGACTGGATTTGTTGCACCATTCCTGGCCCAATCTGGTGAATTCTGATCTGCATGCCTGTTCCTCTGCAATTAGGACAGCATTCTACCGCACCTTTCTTACCACCACGACCTGAGGAGAATGAAAATTGGAGACACATGGTTACACACTGCCAGTAAAAACCCCAAAAGCTTTAGAAGCAACTTGTGTTGAGTTGCGATTTCACAGTTACCTTCACATTTGTCACAGATAACATTCTTCTGCAGTGCAAGTTTCCTCGTTGCACCATTGTACATATCTTCTAAACTTACTGACAACTGATGGACCACATTTTTGCCTGTAGAAGAAAATGGATATTTACTCAAGTTTAAAAGCTTGGTCTCCAAGTAACAGTAAACTTCCCACGTCACCATGCTCAAGTAATGATAAGCCAAGTCTATGATCTTTACATTCTGTTTTAATATAGGTTTATCTTGTTTTGCTGGTAGTAGTCAACAGTCCCTTCCTACCTGATGTCAAGTTAGGTAACAATTCTAATGGCTTTGTCATTAATGCTTCTCTATTACAATAAGAGAGAGACTCTTCTGTGAAAGCACAAACAACAGAAAGAAAATATGTAGAACCTTAGACATTTAAGTTTTATAGTGCAGGACTTCAGTTTTAACAAAGTGACTGAACATGCCTCCTACAAGGAAGTGGGAGACGCTGTCTAGAGTCAGCAAAGTACTTTCTTCCTCTCACCAGACAACTTTCTGTAAACTGAATTGAGTAATTAAATTTTTACACTCAGGAATTAATTAGAACTTTAGCTACCGCAGGCTTAATTTTGTGAAGGATACCAAGTTCTGGCTTACTAGGTATACTTTGATACAACACTGTTACATTTCAATACAAACCCTTTTTTCTTCCCTTTATCACCAGTTCTACACTAAGAAGTGATGGGGTCAGCACTACTCTTAACCAGTTTAAATAACACTAGAGTCTTTCACAGTGTGATTAATCTGGACTTTAATTTCCGAGCAGCGTTTTATTGCAGCTTCAACTTAACTCCACTGAACAGCACAGGAAAAGAGAAAGGTTTCCCAGACTGAATTTGATTTGGTTAACTTATTTAGATATCGTTACTTGCAATTAAAGACCAAATTCACATTTAGACACTACACTTATGGTAGCTCAGTTAAAAAATCTTTTTAAGGTACGTTACTACTCCGTTTCCTATACAACCTACTAGCAGCTGGGCTCACGCTCAGCTAAAGACTTTCCAAACACGAAATCTGGTTAGCTATTAACATGAGACAATGCACGAAAGACCAAACTACCACTGTATGAAGCCAATGACCTCCCTTGCTCGCTTCAGGTGTTAAGGGCTAGAGACAATGTTTTCTCCGATTTTGAGATCAAGCCTGTAACTTCATTTTAACGCTACTTGAAGTCTTACATCTACAGTATTCTCCTCAGAGACTTTGATCCCGTCTACCACAGCGATCATGCTGTAAAGTCTGGGGAAGTGTGGAAAGAAGGCACGTTACCTCGTCTCTCTCTCTGCATCCTCCCGCCGCCGCCAAAGAACATATCGAATATGTCCATGGGTGATCCGAAGCCACCGCCAGAACCACCCTCTTTGATGGCCTGCTCGCCTCCTTTGTCATACAAGTCCCTCTTCTTTGGGTCCGACAGTACTTCGTAAGCTTGGGAAATCTGCTTAAACTGTGAGAGACACACATCGTGCCTCAGACACCCGGGCCTTGAAACCCCAAGCGGCACCCCGGCGGGGCCCCCGGCCCC